TAATGATTCTGGAAGCTGGGAAGTCCAAGAGCATGATGCCAGCCTCTGGTCAGCGCCCAGAGAAGACCTGGTGCACATCTTAACCTTGCAATGGTTGTCACATGATGAGACAGCAGATCTCTCTTCTCATAGTCACTAATGTTATGTGGTAAGGGCCCCATCCTCATGTCATCATCTCATCCGAATTATTTCTTAATCTCTCCACTCCCAAATACCATCAACATTGAAATTTCTAACAGGTCAGCTTCTGAGACACACATTCAAATCATAACAGACATCCACACACCACCTGTATTTATAACTGTTAGTATCTTAACAATATTTTAACATGAAAATGATCAGTTACAAATTTTGCTAACATTCCATCTACCTCTGCAACCCATCCTCATTAACAAATATATGAAATTTAATTTCATCCTCACATATATTTTTATACTTCAGCTACAGATGCCTACGTGTATAGACAATACTGCTACATACTGTTGCTTTGCGCAGTTAAAGAAGTTTGTGAAAGAAGTATTGAGCCATACAGATTATTACTTTGCAATGATTCAATGCTGCTCTTTACCTCCAGAAATTATGGAGAAATTGTATCATGTTTTTGAGCCATAAGGAGGTGTACTAAGGTACTGTTGGTAGGCTCACACATAATTCAAGCTGCTCAGGAGGCAGAGATTAGAAGAACAGGAGTCTGAGGCCAGTGCTTCCCTTAAAAGGAGGGAGTTTTAAAGATTCCCCATCTCAATAAGCTCTAGGTGTAGTAGAGCGTACCTTTAATCCCAGCCATATGGGAAGCTGTAAAGGATCTCTATCTAAGGCTGGCCTGGGCAAAAACAGAGGCTGAGAACATGGGTCAAGTAGTAGAGCACCTGCTTCACAAGTGTGAGACCCTGAGTACAAACCACTGTACCACCAAAAAAAATTAAAATGATCTTGTTTGTATTAATTACAGCATAATGCAGATGGATAAGATCAGACTCAGCCTGGCAGAGGCAGCATCAGCAGGACTTTGTGACTACGTTGATGTGCTGGGGTATAAGGGTTCAGGAACAAAAAGTCTAGGTACCTGGTAGGAAAGTTGATGTCAAATCACTCAGCTCAGGAGCAGAGGGGAAGATGCTGGTATGGTAAGGTGATATATCTTTTGGACCTGTCCAGTTGGAAGTGGCTACAAGCACACCAGGTAGACAATCTCAGGAGACAGTTGGATGTTTTAACTCAAACTTGAGGCAGGAGATTGGAACCAGAAACTCCTTGGGTTCCTTTGGCCTCCGGTGAGCTTCAGTCTGAGTGGAAATGCAGTGTAGGTAGCTGAGTTTGAGAACCTAGGGTTGGGCCTTTATGTGGAACAGAAAGTATGGGTCACTCTCACAAGATTACTACAGAACTCTGACATGCGATGATGGAGAAATTAGGGAGAGTTACCTTCCAAGATCACAGTTATACTTGAAACATTTTTCCCTCTGATGACCTGCTAGGATTTTCTTGTTTGTGTGATTTTATAAATCCTCCCTGACAATAATTTCTGCTCTCAGATATACCATGCCTAAAGAGTAATAAGTTGATAGACTCTGCTAGCCTTTACATAGACTTCTTTCCACTTGACTAACCTCTCCCTGATTATATGTTTAGAAGCTCCAAACCAGTCTGTGTGCTGGTGGCTCATGTCTATAATCCTAGCTTCTCAGGAGACTGAGATCTAAGGATCATGGTTTGAAGCCAGATGGTAGGAAAGTCCTGAGACTTAATTAACTACCTGAAAACTGGAAGTAGGGGCTGTGGCTCAAAGTAGTCGAGTGCTAACCTTGAACACAAATGCTCAGGGATAGCACCCAAGCCCTGAGGTCAAGTCCAAGACAGATTAAAAAAAAAAGGAGGAGGAGAATGAAGAGGAGGATGGAAAGGAGAAAGAGGAATGAGGAGGAGGAAAGAAGAAAGAAGCTCCAAACTTTGCCAGGATTTGCCAGCAACATATGAGTGACTTCCTATGTATCATGGCTTTTCCAAGAGTTTTGTCTGGGATCTTAGTCTTCAATTTGTCTTTAGTTTGTAAATGATTTTTAGCGGAGCAAGAAACAGATGAGCTATTTGCAGTTCTGCCTATTGCTCCCACAGGCCTGGTCTGGGGCCTGTGGTCCATCCTTCTGAGTTTGCAGCTGGCATTTCATGGGAAATGGTTCCCATTTCCATCTGGAACAGATGCCTGTCCCCTCTCAATTCCTGCTTCATGGCCACAAGATGTCCTGAGAGGCTTCTTTGGGGAGGCGTGGGATTGTCCCTAGGAACTCAAATACAAATGTGGGGTGGAATCTGGAAAGTGTTTGGGTACCTGCTGTTGTAAGAGCCCTTAAGGATTTAGGAATGGGCACCAGGTAGATGGCCAGCAGAGTTGATATGGGCCCTAATTTCCTATTTGTCTAATTTTTTTCTTCTCTTCTTTGTCCTCCTTTCTCTTGGCCTCTCTTTCTGTCATATTCACAGGAGTGATGTCTCTGTCACAATCTGAGGCCTTCTCATCACCACCTGTGTGCCTACCTTCCCCTTCTCTTCCCTTATTTCTTCAGCTTATTTCTTGCTCCATAATTGTACAGACTCCAACACTGCATGACCTTTGTCATAATGCCCACATCCAATTCTGGATTAGTAGCCCTTCTATGTCCAGGATTTTGATCTCCCAAGATATGATCTGGAGGGCTTTCACCTGCTGACCCTCAGGTCAGCCCCTCCTCAGAGCAGAGGGCAGGGTTACTGAGCACCTTCCTGTTTTCCAGGGCCTATGGGGGAGGAACAGGAGTAATCAGACACATCTAACACAGATCCCTATCCTAGAACTCTTCCAGTGGACTTACGCTGGATAAAAGTAAGCTAAACATGGCACAATTTTCAAAAGGACAGCCATGGCTTAGAAACGGCTTCTATGGTCATCATACCAAGGGTCCATGTCTCTGAAGTACTGACCTCCGCATCTTGCAAGCCACACACGCATCTCATGGAATTAAACGTGTTCCATTTTATTTATACCTTGGGCTACAGGGAGGGGCTTGCTGGATTACCCATAATCTTCCTGATTGAGAAAATAGAGGATTTGAACTTGCTGTTTTCTTTTTACTCATGAACCATTCTAACGCATGATTTTGATGTATTTTCCCAAAACTGAGTACTAGTAGCAGGGTAGGGAATGGCAAAGGGCAGATTGTGACCCACTACACCCAGAGCCGACCTCCCTCCCTTCACTGTCGCAGCTGCTGCCACGCCCCATGTCTGCAGTCACAGAACCTGCTAGAATTAGGTTTGCCCCAAGAATCTGAAAAAAAAGCCTTGGAATGGGAGACAAAACTTTATCCTTTTTTTCATACAACTGGGAAACATTACAGAACTTCACTCCAAAAAAAAAAAAATGTACAAAATTCAGCTTGCACTACTTAGTCACACGGAAACATGAAGAGGAAGAGAAAGTGAGCTTGCTTCCGCTCCCAGGTGGTTTCTATTTCAAAAAGTGCCTCAAGATTCAGGGCCTGCAAATACAGGAAGGGGATTTGCATTTGTTTCTCATGAAAAGTAGAAGGACTCTTGAAAGTTTCAGGGCTCATCAAAGTTCCCACTTGACTTTTATTTTCTACTTTGGCCTACCTGTATTTTCTCATCCTCCGGCAGCTGCATTCATCAGTCCATTGCATGGGAACTCTCCTCACCCGAAGATCAGAACTAAGCAGGATCCCATTCTGACAACATGAGTTAATCGTCACTAGGAATACTGGCAAGAACTAGAGATGCCTGCATTCTTTAGAGACAGTTTAACATCTCTGGATATATATTCCAGGCTAACCAACTGTCTTCTCTTGACCTTCCTTCTTCAGACTTCCTCTCCCAAAAAGAGAATTAGCCAAAAGCAATGTGTTGAGTCTCTAGTAATTTACAAAATGAGGATGGAACCTCAAAAAGAGTTGGCCATTGGGATGGGAAGGTGGCTCAGTGGTAGAGCGCTTGTCTAGCATGCGTGAGGCCCTGGGTTCGATTCCTCAGCACCACATAAGCAAAAAGAAAAAAGACGGAAGTGGCGCTGTGGCTCAAGTGGTAGAGTGCTAGCCTTGAGCTGAAGAGCTGAGGGACAGCGCCCAAGCCCAGAGTTCAGGCCCCACGACCGGACCCAAAAATAAAAAAAAGAGTTGGCCATAATTCTTTGTTGGTGTGCAGTATTATGTTGCTGTATAATGTGCTGCTGCTTAGAAAATGGCACCGTGGCCGTGTGACTCTTTGATCTTCAAAAATGCACTCATTACCTTGCTCATGTAACTGTAACCCCTCTGTACAGTATTTCTACAATAAAAAATATACAAAAAAAAGGAAAAAAAATCTAGCTAGAAGCCAGGTGCCGGTGGCTCATGCCTGTAATCCTAGCTACTCAGGAGGCTGAGATCTGAGGATTGTGGTTCAAAGCCAGCCCGGGCAGGAAAAGCCGTGAAACTCTTATCTCCAATAAACCACCAGAAAACCAGAAGTGGCGCTGTGGCTCAAGTGGTAGAGCACTAACCTTGAGCTGAAGAGCTGAGGGACAGAGCTCAGGCCCAGAATTCAAGCCCTACACTGGAAAAAAAAAAATCTAGGTAGATTACTTTTAAAAGAAGTTGGAGACGCTGGATTGACAAATTCTTGAGCTTAAGAATGCTTCTGGGTTGGCGTCTGTGGCTCATGCCTATAATCCTAGCAACTCAGGAGGCTGAGATCTGAGGATCACAGTTCAAAGCCAGCCCGAGCAGGAAGTCTGTTAGACTCTTATCTTCAATAAACCACTAGAAAACCGGAAGTGGCACTGTGGCTTAAGCGGTAGAGTGCTTGCTTGCCTTGAGCTGAAGAGCTCAGGGAAAGCTCCCCGGCCCAGAGTTCAAGCACCACAACCAACAACAACAACAAAAAAAATGCTTCAGTCCTATCAGGCAAGTTGTTGGGCAGGTGGAGTGAAAGGGAAAGACAAATGCTCTCTTCTTGTGTTCCCTCTTTAGAATAAGAAGATGTACTTGGACATCATCCACACATACATGGAAGTGCATGCCACTGTCTATGGCACCAGCACAAAGAACATTCCAAGTTACGTGAAAAACCACGGCATCCTCAGTGGACGAGATCTGCAGTTTCTTCTCCGAGAAACCAAGGTAAGCTTTCAATAAATTGATAAGCATTCACCAGGGATGAGTTTACAGGTTTCTTTCCATCCATGTCAAAGATGAGATCAAAGTCTTTGCTGCTTTTCTTTTCATCAGTGCAGGAGATCTTTAGCCTATAATTTGGGCAGTGTTTGGTAGAGGAGCTGTCACTGGTGACAATGAGTTTTGAACAGTTTTCTCCAAGTTTACTCACTGATTCTGCCTCCAAAATGTATTTGTATAATTAAAAATAAAAGCATTATTTCAGTGGTTACAGCACTTGCTCTAGCAGATACAAGGCCCTAGGTTTGATCCCTAACATCATGTACACACACACACACACACACACACACACACACACACACACACACACACACACACA